ACGGTGGTCATGAATTCATTTCTGAAAATGGTATATTTGCAGATGAGTGCAAGAATAATTTATGTCGAGCTTGGAAAAACCCAAAATAACGTGACCGTAATGTTACCTGTCTTTTTTACATATATCTCGTGATTCTTTCCACACGCTGAGCCTAGCGGGAATTGAGAGCTTTCCGCACGGAAAAGCGTGCGGAAATTAGTACGTTAGCTAACTAGTGCAGAAAAGTAGATTCTTGTCTCGTGTGAGGCTTAAATCCGAGCGTAGCGAGACGTGATAACATTTCAGCTACGATATTGAAAAAAAAACATGTAGAAAGTGCGAATTTTAGCGCACGCTTGGTGAAAAACGTGCGCTCACATTCGTGCTTTTCACACGTTGATTTAATAGATACCGTATTTTTTAAATACCGTAATAGAAGGTCAGGTATGATTAACAATGATTACATCATTTAATACAAGCCTCACTTACGAAAATGTGTATAGCGCTTCGCGTGCGAATCACGTTGATTATATAATAATACTAGTACACGGAATTGAGGTGGCGCTTGGTTACATTAATAGAATTCAAGTCTCGCATGAAATTCAATGACTTTTAGTCACATTACGTGAGTGATTGCACTTAATACATCAAAGTCAACAAAATTGCTTTGAAAAATTTTCGTTAACTTGTACAAATGCTTGTGACGTTTGTTATAACAGAAGAAAAAGTGGATGGTGCAAAAACTTTACGAAATTGTAAAATTAATTCTACTAAAGTAATTTTTGAAATTCTGGATTACTGCGAGAGGATATTCATTAAATCAGTCACCAATAGCATGTAAGAACGAAGGTCAATGGGGCAAAAGTTGGGGTATTAGCTCATAAAAGTCTTTACGGGAGACAAAGTTTTAGATAGCAGCAGGTGGCGCTTCGTTGTTCAACATCCAAAGATGGATAAGCAACTGGCGATAAACGTTACGGCGTTGATTAGCAAATAAATTGGACCAATCGAATATTTCTGTTTGATTTTCTGCTTTGTGTCCTCAGATTAGTAACAAGGCAGGGGAGAAAGCAAAGCGAAAATGAGAAACGGTATGAGGCTTATGACTTATGATGCAATTTTACATAAGATTTTTGCAAGCACAATGTTGCTTGTAGTTAATTAATAAACGTGTAAAAGTTGATTGACACATGTACAAAGAGATGAAGAAATATTTTCCCAATGTAGCCTACACTCCGCGATCGACTTTGAACAATGCACGTGTAGTAATAATGATAATAATGTAAAAAGTAATTTCGTAGCCGTCAAATACAATAATCTAATTGCAAATATGGATTTCGCGGGTGGAAAGGCCAGCGTTGAGTTAGCACCAACGTTAGTTGAACTAATGAACATAGCTCGATTATGTAGCAACGATTATTGTGCGCACGCGTCTCTTATAGCGCGTTAACTATCTAGATCATATTTATATGCGAGCCAACCACGTATGCATACAACAATGTGTACACACTAGTACTAGTGTATACCTTCGTGACGCGTCAGTAGCTCGAGTTAACCATGTTGAAGTCCCGTAGATAGCGAAAATCGATGATCGAGTACCTCCCTCCTCTCAGCCATGTGTACGAAAGCACAATCACCACATTTACTGGACTTTCGTTCAACTTCACTTTGCTTGTTTGTCCAATCATCACGGCTATTACTTCAATTAAAACTCGATTGCTCCGAGAAAGCAAACTTGATTTTTTCTATACTTGAATTATTCCGAAAGATAAGTTTTTTTACAAGAAAACGTGATATCATTATGTCCATCGGTATTAAAATATGTAACAGGTAGCTTATGGAGCGTTATTAAAAATCAGTCATTTCAGTGAAATATAGGTAGGAGAAAGAGATAGAGTGACACGAAGAAATTGAAAAAGGAATCAAGTTATCTGCAAGAGTTTTAACGGTTGAGTGTTGGCCACGAAAGATCTTCGGAAGCACTTACTTTCAAAGAGAGAAAATAAATAGATAGAGAAAAATTATATCGAACAGTCGAATCCACCAAGAGATATAGTAGTGTTTGCGCGAGCGCGAATCCACACATTGCTGTTTTAGCGAGTAGAGTTCTTTTAGCTTATCATCAATGGGCAGAACTGCGAGCGCATTTCTTTATTGAGAGTGCTATTTCGGTGAAATTTATCGAACGTCGTGCACTCGGGCAATCGTGCCAAGATGCCTTTTTTATCGATACGAGCCATCGACCTGTTTTTGGCTGCTCTCGCGAAAAGAACACGAACCAAGATCGTACATCCCGATGCTTGCAGTTGGGCTCGCTCAAGCCTTGGACCCAAGCCGCGACGTTTTGTCGCGCCAAAATGCAACGCAGCACCGATCATCGTTACATTTTTTTCTATTGTTTTCTTTAATTTGATCATACAAAACGATAGATGTCTGCATCTTTCGTTTATTTATAATGCATGGATATTTAACTCGTTTTATTTTAAAGCTTACAACAAATATGAGTGAACAGACATTCCAGTAGTCATCAAGTCTTTATGCTAGATATATTGCTTCTGGTAACGCGTTGGCAAGAAACGATCAGCTTGCGCTCAAAAACCAAAATAATCTCGTGTCTGAAACAATTTTTCAACTAGACACCATGCGTTTGACTTGGTGAAAATAAAATAAATTTGTGGATATACACGAGCGACTGCGGGTGTAATGAATATTTGTTGGTGTCCCAGCCTCAGGTTATTTGTATGATGCACTCGCGTGGGTCGTTCATAGAAAGCTGCGACAGAAAAACGAGAGAGAAAACGTTGAGTGTGTGGTTGTTTCGCACGGCGGTGGTAATATTTTTTTCTCTCTCGCGGCACAGACATGCACACACATAACCGCATTGTGCGCTCTCAATAGAAAAGAGAGAGAGAGAGAGAGATCAATAAATAGCAGGTAGGCTTGTTACTAGTTCTACTGATTCCTGTACGTAGTTGTACGAGATATGTGTACAGGATAGATAGCGAAAGATATGGGCTTGAGGCAGAGGCTGCGGTAGCGACCTTATAGCGATAGACGTCAATCCAGTCTCCTACAATTTCAAAGTTTTACCCGTTCGCGCCGTGGAAGGGAAGCTGACTGGTAAACCCACGGGAATAGATACCTATATATACACACGTACACATCAAACTTGAGGGGGAGGCTCTTTTCCAATGTATATTATATGTATATATATATATATATATATATATATATATATATATATATATATCGAAGAATGCACTTGGATGGAATTACACGAGGCGCCAGTCATCGGGGGAGCTGATGGCCATCGAGGACTGCCTGTCTGCCTGTTTGCCGTCATTCTATTTTCCAGGTCAAGTTCCCCTCCTCGCATATATAGATTCTACCTACGGGCTTGCTTTTCAAAAGAACTTACGAGGCGATAATAATCAAGTTCCTTTATTGATTTATTGCTTTCTGAACGTATAACAATTATCGCCGATTTTTCATCAGATCTGTTTCTCCTCGCGACTTTTCATCTCTCATTTCTATCACTTAACACCTTCTCTGCCTTAAAATAGTTTGCTATTTGAGAGATTCACTGAATTTGGCAAACACATCTGCGTATGCCGTCAATAGCTCAAACGATGGGGGGGGGGGGGGGGGGGAGGGTACATTGGCAAAGTTTGACCGAGACAGCGAGAGAGAGAGAGAGAGAGAGAGAGAGAGAGAGAGATAGAACATGTGATCGCTTTGGGGATGCCGGCAGCGCGATGTCCCGCGCGAATGTGTGAACGTACATTCCGTCGTCTATACGAGTGTAAGTACGTTTAGTTTGCATGTGCATTGCAGTATGCGGGATCAGGGGCAAACTCGAACTCCAGCCCGTCAATACCAACATCGATCCGTTTTTCTCGTTAAAAATGTTGTACGTTTTAACGATCCTTTATATAATACGCGATTGGTATGCTGCGGTATCACGCGCGAGACTCAATATCCGCGCAAGCACTTTCAACCGATCATCCCTCGATGCAATCTTACATCCCTACGCGGCTCCCGATCCTCTCCTGAGATTTTCACTAAATTTACATCTTAGCTGCACTGTACTATGCTATACTGTGTTTGATCGTTGGCTTGATTCCCTCGGTTTCTTTGGCCTTGCTTTTTCATAATCTCGAGAAACAATTTTTCCACAATCGAGTCTATGAATAGATAACATTTCAAGAGTAATCCTCAGATTTACTTCTATTTTGATATCGAATCACTATTATTGTTTAACGTATTATTTTTCAAACTTACATTGACGAGGGACTTGTTAGATAAAGTGTAACAACAGAAATCAATATTTTATTTGGTTGAATACGTCATTAATGTTTTTGTTCAATCAAAATCTTTTAACTTATTGATTTCAGTTTCCAAATTTCTACAATATATTGCTATTTGAATTTGAATACCGGTTAATTCAGTGTAATTTATTCATTATTGTGCTATATTAAATTGATTGCACTATACGGCGCAACAATACCAATTAATAAAAATCGAAAAACCAAAGTGTAGCCAATTTAATGTCTCTAATAGATTTCAATTTAAAAATGACTTTATTTGTTCTAGTTACTCATTAAGTTTAATGAAGACGATTTCTCATTTGTTGGTTAAAAATGTAATTACAGAATCTGTTTTGTTTAGAGCGATAATTCATACCTTCTCCGTGGGCAAAAATTATGTAATGCTTAATATTTAGTAATTACTTATTGAATGAATGATGAAATACCGTGAAGCCTGTCGCATTAGAAAATATTTACTTGTGATGTGAACAAAATATCCAACGTTCTAACAAGATCTTAAACACAATTAAGGTGATATTGCTCACCACCTGATGTTTACCTTCATCATTAACCTAATTATACGCTGTACAATAGATCTATTTTTGGTGAACTTTAGAACATTACTCCATAGATAACTTGGATATATCGCAATAACATTTGTAAACAAGAACGTTACGCGAAATTAAAAGCAAAAATGATTTTCGTATTTTGTAGTATCGGAGTTTGCGCAATCGTTGGGTGGTGCTTTGGAGTGTCATGGACAAAATGTCATTCGGCTGGTTGATGATTTTCGTGGACGTACAACCGACTCGAGAGGTGATGCCGGCGGGATGCGCCGCGTTTGGGACAGCCTGCTCAGGCAAGTGGAAGCTGATGCTACCGCACAGCTTGACCTTGCATCTTTGCTACAACAACAATTGTCCAGACCTGCACTCGAAGGTTGCTTTCATCGGAAAGTACAACACAGAAAGGTCAGTTTTTTTCCTTACAATCATTTTGCACTGTTTATTCGAGTTACGAAATTAAAAAACGTCGAAATTTTTTGTAGATTTCAATGCGTGTAAAAAGTGACTACATTTCCTTATATAGCTCAATAATTATACGCGAAAGGAAAAATATTCGGTCAAATATTTTAGCCAAATTTGGAAATATTGATCTATCTGCAAGTGAGATCAAAGAATCAGAAAGTGAGCATCAATATGCCATTCCAGTACACGTAATACACATTTGTTTGGCCTTGGGTATCGAGCTATAAATTCCTCCAAGTTGGTATGACATGGTAGTAGAATACGTGACCAGTGGCACTCTGCACTATCGTTTGAACGTTACTTTCGTTTACGACCTTATTTGGATTTGGAAGATTGCTGTCTATTAAAAATACAAAATGTATAATCTAATTACAAAGATATTTTAATGAACCACGGATAGAACAGTATATAAATTCCACGAGGCTAGACTATTTTACAAGTTGTCAACTTTGTGAAATCTATATAAGTACGCGTGGCGATCTTAACAACGACACTTACCTTGATGACGGCCAAAAGCTTTCTGAACTATGCTTGCTGAGCGAGTTGAACTATTACGGCTTCTCATTCTTCCGTCGCTCTCTCTCTCTCTCTCTCTGTCTCTCTCTCGTTTAAGATTTATAAATTGAGATGCAGCTTTTTTAGCTTTCTTCAGGAATAGGATTGAAGCTTACTATACCCTGCGTCTCGCTCTATAATTCGTTTCAATTCTCATAATTCCATGTGAGGTGTTGCTTTATATCGTTTAGTGGAAATTAATTTTATCAATTTCCGTTCTCTGTTTCCAATTTCGGAACTAAAGTTTGATCTATACATATAGCTATACGACAATACGTACATCGATTTTAGTGGTGTACATGCACGTACGACAAGCTGAAGGGGGATGATAGTAGCTTCATAGTCATGTTATACTTAATTGTTCAATTAAATCCATTTGACATAAAAATGTAACGTTCGAGGAATTCTGCTTCTCAAGTTCTTCACGAAACGATCGAGGGATTTGGTACCTCAAATTGTCTCTGACCCGTATCTAATTTGTAATACGTGTATCAAATTTCGACTCGCGTTAGCATACATCATTCGGAGAAATTTATGTATACCTTATATTTTTCCCATTATATACGTGTCATATGATTATAATAATAATAATAATCATCGTTTTTTATGCTGCAATTAATGTTTATGTTTTCCTTACAGTTATATACAATATAAACAATTTAATCATTGTTATCTATAATAAAATAACAGAACTTAAATATGAATTTGTTTATACTTATTATAGTTGATATTCGTTACAATACAAACGCTTGATTCGATCACAGTTTTCATTTTTCTCCTTTTTTACAATTTTCTCTTATTGCTTTTTTAAAATAAATTTCGCTTGCGTGAATACAGATATTGTCTCACAGAGCGGTTTTTTAAGGGAAATCTAAGAAGTTTGGACATATATGATTTAAATATGATTGTACAGTAATGAAATTGTTTTTTTTTTTAATTTCCGGGTATCAACCCGATAATATTTGACCTTGTAATCATAACATTCAAGCTCGAAGGTTTTGAAGCATAACTGAATGAATAGCTAAGCACAACTGAATGAATTAGGCGTATACATAGACAGGCAATTATAAAAAACAATGATAAAAATATCCAGCTATATCGTCTACCGTCGCATCGGTTATAATTTGTAGAAAATGCAATTTTCGCGATTAAAATGTGGAAAGGTAATTTAAAAAAGCAATCCGGAACAGGCACGATGAAAACTGAATTGTAAAGGCAATTTGTACTATTATTATCATTATTTGACTAGAATCAAGTAATAAAATAGAACACTGATGGTATCAAAGGTGTTCGGGCACCGCGAGGCGTTTGAGCAAGTGGTGGCAAAGTCGGAAGAAAAGCTGCAGCGCGCTCGCGCGGAGTACAAGCGCACCTACGGAGCGCTGTTGGTGACTCCAGAGCCGAGTCAAGACTCGGAGCTGAAGCGCGCCTACCTGGAGGCACACAATGCTTTCGTGCTGCAATTACGGGCCACCAACGCTATCGCTGAGCGCTATCAGTTCCACTGTCTGCCCAATTTGCTCGGCGAGGTAGCCGAGGTCTACGAGGAGCTCTGCAATCTCACCTGCAACTGCATCTCCGGCATATCAGAGGCAGCTAATGAGCGCATTAACGAGCAGGCCAGAAGGTACCAAGCACTCGCCAAGGAAGTGCGAACAATTAATCCTCAGTCGGATTTGCAGGTATAACGACGCCTTACTTCTATTATTTCTTCTTTTCTCGCATACCTTCCGCTGTCTTTCCCTCGTTTCAAATTTCCGTCTGTCTAAACGGAGACCCCACTATTGCATACATGTATATATGGGCCGCTTATATACTTCATGAGTATGCGTTTACGTTTTGGATGTTATGCACATATGCATTCAGCGTTTAAGTACGTGTGTACCATCTAATTTCCCTAATTCTGTATATAACCTGTTGCTATCTTGGTTAAGCTGTGCACAATAACAACTTTTCTAATTAAAACGTTGTTTCGTGATCGAAACTTTGACAATTAAAGTACTTCAAAATATATCTCCACATAAAACTTGATTATATTATTTAAATAATATAGTATACTGTCTACTATAATCAAGTACATAACTTTTTTTAATGCAAATTTTCTTAGATAAAATATTTAAACAATTATGCAACTTAAATAATCGGCTATTTAATAACATAATAGCTAAGCATAACTGAATGAATTAACACGAATAATGGACGAATTAATAATAATGATTCCATATGTACACTGAATGTTGGAAAAAAAACATGGTATCGGATTTATTTTCAGATTTTAGCACGAAGCCTATCGACAATAGCACAGCCACGTAAACCAGCAAAACGGTTGTTCGTGCCACTGACGCCACCCGAACAGTCAAGCAGTGATCGCATAAACAGTGTGCCTGCTTTGAGGGACGAACTTGTACCCACTGGGAGCAATAGTCTTTCCATGATCGAGGAGGATCTCCAGGTTGAAGCTGATAGACTCGCTCAGGAAATCGCTCATATACAAGATGCGCTTGACACTCTTAATCGCATGCAGCGAAAGTCAGTAATATTCGTAATATGATTGACTGCAATTGATTTGATGAACAAATAGATTCATATAAAGGATAGCTCATTAACTCTTAACTCTCGTAACGTGAATTTTTAGATTAAGTATTCATTAAGACTTATGCACTCAATAAAACTAATTGCAAATAAATTTCGCGAAACATCACGTCACGTTGTGGAAATGTGACCGTATTTGCTGATTAAATTGGTGTCAACATCACACTCTTCAACGCAAACAAAATTTCTCGCTCTACGAATTTTTTGTTGACTCGGTGACATTTACCAAAATAAAATTCTTAATTTTTTAGATTTCGCTGTAAACTTTAAAATGTTCGATCAAACTTTTATATATTTAGATACATAATATGCTCTAAAGTATGTCCCCATGTACGTGAAAAAATTTATTCATAGTAAAAAGTTGATACTATAATGAATATGAGTTTATAAAATACACGTGCCTTTTGGATAGCAAAGTTATTTAAAAAAATCCACAATTAAAATTTAATTCGTTATCACACCTAAATGACCGTGATGTACATGGTCGGATTCGTTTGGATAACCATTCATAACAGTTGCTTTATAATTCTGTTGTAGGAGTGCTGAAGGCAATCTCCACACGAAGGTAGTCGAATTACAAGAAGACATTTCAATTAAACGCTTCGATTTAGGAGTAGCGCAATTACAGTTATCAGCTATCCATGCTCAAGTAAGTATTACTAATTTTTAACTACGATTGTACATATTACAATGTATCTGATCTAGCATATATGTAATCAAGTTTATACAACATTTATTTATATAAACTTTTAATAAACTTAAAGCACTAATAAAATTGAAAGTTGACAAAAAGATATGATCTTATCGACATATATTAAAATCCATGTTATGTTTCATTAAAATAATTTTATTGTGGTTAACACAATGTTATGAACATTTGACATGATAAAAATCTTTGTTATATGGGGTTTTAAATGATAATAAGAATAATAACAACAACAACAACAACAACAACAACAACAATAATAATAATAATAATAATAATAATAATAATAATAATAATAATAAATGAAATTATAAGTCGTACATGATAAAAATATTTGGCGTTTTCGTCGATTCTCTGTTTTTCATACCAAAATAAAATTCTTTGCAACTATAGATATTGACCTAAAGTTACAATTAAAAATTGTGAATCTTATCAGTTTTTAATTAGTTTTTATCGGATCTACAACTTAATGTGGAATCCATCACCACCATCATTAATATATGACCAACTCCACCTCAAATCATGCACGCCAACGGATGGCGTATTTCGGATTCAATTAGGAATTAAATATATTGTTCTACTTACGAAATCATCGGACCCGTATTGTTTTATTTATCGATCAGTTATAGGATGCACCTAATAAATGTTATTATACATGTGCAGTGAAAATTGCATTATGTACGCTGTTTTATCTTAAAATAGCTATATTTACGTTAATTTTTGATCTATTAAACTTGTGTTGGTAGCACTTTTCAGAGAATCATTTACTCTTTCCAATGAAATTAGCAAATTTAAAAATTTTGAAAAATAACGTGGAGAATTCACTTTTTACGTAAAATTTCAAAATCGATTTTCTCAAAAATCCCATCATTATTTTTTTTTTGAAAATTAAAAAAAAAAAAAAAAAAATAGGCAATTATGAGACCTTTCAATTCATGATTATTTTTTCACGGATTTTTTTGTCATTGAGAAGGAAAAAAATTGCTAGTTGAAAAAAATTTTTTCTAGTTAAAGAAAAATTCATTTGACTGTATTTGATCGTTCATATATTATTATAGTAATATGGTTCAACCTCGTAAAAGCCTTGGTGTAGCGTATGTATGAATATTTCGAAAAAGTTACGGCGTATGTTGTTATTGTTTGTAAACATATCTAAGTAAGCGGTCTAATGAAATTCAGTGTTGCGTAAAATTTGAAGGTAGTAAGACGGATTACACAGTAACACTTTAAATGGTTTAGGAATATTGTAATTTATTTTGAATTCACACAAAGTGTCTGCTAAAAATTTTTATTCATAGATTTATGTTTATTAATAGAATTAAATGTCATAATTTTTTACAAAGGCATAAAACTTGTGTTTATAAAGCTAATAAAGTGAGATTTTTGAAACTCAATGAATTAGCTATATTAAACTTACACAGTAAATAAATATTATTTTAGGCATACCTTACTCGTCCATTCGAAAATTTTTGTAGAATTGATTAATATACTATCAAGCAGTTATCTCGTCGAACCAATCTTTTCATATCTACTCCAATACCATCACATGGAATTTTGCCGTTTTTTATTTACTTTTAACTCGTGAAAAATATTAATTTACGTTAATATAATACATTTTGTAATAACGGAATAAATTCAAAAATTCTTATATGCTTTTGGCATCAAAACTAATTTATTTTCTACGAATTAAATTAATTCTTTGATACAATAAAACTGCATACGTATTATGTTCTAAACGTTCAGATATATTAGCTAAATTCTCTCGCTCGACTCTACCGTTAATTTTTTTGTAAACTGAGAAAGGATGTATAGTATTTGATCTTTAGTATAATATACGCGGATTGAATTTCATCTTGAAATTTGCATATGTTATTTTTCAGCAAAATCCATCATTACAAATATTATTATCCATCATTACAAGCTAATTACTCAAATTCAAAATGTTGTTCTTATGAAATCACTTTCACATTTAGTTACGTAATTATGCACGCCAAATTTATTAACAAACTGCATTATCAGTTCATGAACATACTATGTTCTTTAGATAACTTAACATCAATTCATTGATACTTGTCATGCACATTATCCTACATCTTTTTAATTTGATACTATTAATTGAATTGGTTCTAAAAGAAATTAGTAATTTATTAGCTGAAAAACCAAAACCACGACATTCAAAACATGCATTATAGCTACATGCTTTGGTTAGATTTTCATATAGCATATATGTTCAAAAATTTTCATTTACGTTATTGAAATTTTATCATTGTTTTCTAAAAATTGTTAGTCCTATTTAACATTAATTTATTACTTTGATGATATATATGAATACAAACATTATGAAATCCTTGTAAATCATTTACAATGAAACAGATCGGTATGGTTTTGTTGTTGGCCAGACATGGGTCATTACCAAAGTAATTTTTTGTCTATAATCCGAATCTGAAGTCAGAATTTTCTGATCACGTCAGATTTTCGAGATATCCTGAACTGAAACAGCAAAAACAAGCAGCTGTTTAGCATATTTAAGGTTTCGTAACATTACAAAAAAAATTTTATTCAGAAAATAGATCAAACCATTAGAAAGTGCAACTTTGATCCTTTTTTAGATTTTAGTTCTTTTTTTCATTGATATGCGTTGTAAATTGAAGGATTGTAGCGATTTCGTGACAGTATTCAAATACAGCACATTGTAATGACAGATTCCTAAACTCCAATTTACTTAACTTTTGAGCTTTATAACGTGTAAGATTACAATCTCAGACCCTAGACCCCAATTTTCTTAATCCTCGAGCTCTGTAATTTGCAAGGCAAAAGTATTTTATATAACTCTAGACTCTTAAACCTTGATTTCCTTAACCGTCGAGTTATGTAACCTACAAGGCTATGTCACAGATAGGATGCTGTATGAAGAAACACGCTTGGGTACTCGGCCTTAAAAATGCAAATGGAAAGAATCCCTGTAGTAGATGGGATCACCAACGAAATGACGAAGTGTGCATGGCTATGTATACCCGGTTGTTTGCATGGTATGTAGTTGCGGTTCTCAACTCGGCAGGTACCTGTACAGTCATTAGAGATTTAAATGGGTCTCGATCCTCACCGAAGATGTTCTCGAGAATCGTACCAATACTCTCGGGGGGCAATCGGTTGGCGGGTGAAAGTATATTGCACCAATATAATTTTGTTAATTGTAGTAAAATTAATATTTTCATAGAATTGAATATTTCTGCAAAATGAATAAATCACATCACTTAATATTGCTGTTTTCAAATTTGCATTGACCAACTACTGTAATATACGTACGTTTATACTCGGGTTCATTAAACTCAAAGAGCCGATAGTTCTAGCCTAGTATGTTTTATTTTTTTGCATTCATTATTAGAGCAAGGATCAAAACTGATAAAACTTATATTTTTCGTTCCACGAGTACTTCTTTTTTATTGTCTCGATGGTGTCAAAATCGTTCTAAAATGTTCTATAATTACCTGAAGTTTGTCTCGTGAAAGGGAAAATAATTAAATTTTACAACGTTAAATCATGTAATTATTGCTTTTGTTTAAACAAGCATTTTTTATTAACTTTGAGAATGTTCATTAACCAGTTCTGAACGTAACATTTAAATGTCACAAATGTTAAAATGTATAATCTTTTCATTAAATCAATAAAGATTTCAAATTAAATTCTTTTTTTTCAAATAACAAAACAACCAAACAAAAAAAGTTCTACTTTTGGATTTACTTTTTATTCAAAATAATTGATGTTAGTAAAAAGGAATATTAATTAAAAAATGATAACAACGAAATAAAGTAGGTCAATTCATTTTATTTTTTACATTGATTAATGGTTGCTTGCAGAACGCATAGATGACAAACAATCAATTTATTTTTTCACCACGCTACATGTCCGATGTCTGTTGTTCGACGTTCGGTCGCACATTATGTAAAAAGCTTCTAATGGTACATCGTATGCAAGTATCTAAAGGCGCAAACCAGGCGCTGAAAGACACAAAGTATGCGTTGATAGGCGCAAACAAGGCGTTGAAAAGCGCAAACGTGAAGCTGAAAAGTGCAAACAGACACTATATATATAAGATATTGTATAAACAACGACATAATTTGCTATGAATAAAGCGACGTAACTTTTCTGGTGATAACCTGAATACAAAGAAAAATAAAATTATTTGTATTTTACAAGAAGTAGTGTTTTATAAAATGTTTGCACTATTTTTTTATTGAATGGCATTGATATTTTATTCGTGTATTGGGATTACTATTTCGTATAACATTGTATGTTGCGATACTTGATCAAAACTAAAAAATATTTCTCATAAATAAATTTTTTTAACAAATGTTCAAAAATTATCCTTAAAGTAGAACAACAGTAAATATTTTCACAAACAACTGATGTCTTGATATTGAATTCTAATCTTTTGATTACAAATGAAGCTTCAGCAGGAACAAAATAAACAATTACAGCTTATACATGTAAAAATTTTAGACAACAAACAAAGTAGTTTATCAACAAAAACAAATTCAAAAGCTCCACCATCTCGTATTTCTATAGTTCCAAATCTTCAATTTAATATAACTTAAATGTTGCTTCAAATGAAATAACAGATTCTAATTTTGTGAATAATACTCTATGAATTTAAGTTACGCATGCCAATGTTAGATAATTGATTCAGTATATACCAGCTACGACTCAATTACATCAGCCATTATTAGATCCAGTTCAAGAAAATAACGTTAACAAATAAAATATTATATTTTAAAATTTTATATATTCTTTCCTATTACCATTGCTATCGATACTTCATAAATATATGCTTACTTCTACGGTACTCTTTGAAATATTTCTTTCATTTTTTGGGAATTTTTGAGAATTAATATATTCTAACGTTGAAATATTGTCTGGCTATATAATATTTTGAAGATTGTACC